AATAAACATAGCTGGACTGAATTTGCACTGTCTCTTGGAGTTCCTTGGGCTAGGCCTGACAGTCTCCCCCCTATCCATCAGTACAGGTAGTCCTCAACTTACAACCATTCGTTTCATGACCATTCAAAGTTACAATGGCACTGAAAAAAGTGACCTACAACCGGTCCTTGCACTTACGACCGTCACAGTGGCCCTGCGGTCACGCAAATAAAATTCAGGTGCTTGGCAACTGGCATGTATTTACAATGGTTGCAGCATCCTAGGGTCACATGACTGCCATTTGCGACCTTCCTAGAGGATTTCTGACAAGCAGAGTCAATGGGGGAAGCTGGATTTGCTTACAGACTGCGACAAAAAAGATTGTCAAATCAGGTGCTTGAGGCTGTATTATTACAACGGGTTATAATGTGTTTTTTTGCTTTTGGCTTAATGTGTCATGTGAAGCAAACCATTTTTTGATTCTTGATCTGGCGCACTGTGTGAAGCCAGTCTCCCCTGCCCTGAGGTAGGGCTGGTCCTGTCTGTTTATTGCAGATGGGGCTTTAGCCTCACATTCCCCCCTTTCTCCTCCCGCAAACCTGCAGCTAGAAAAAACAACAACCCTTGACCCGCTCTTCGTGACCTTGCGCTCTTGTCCATATCCTAACAGATTATTATCCTCCGGGCTTCTGAATCTTTTCAAACGAATCAGCGTAAGATTTTAAAGTAATTGTGATAGAATTATTTTTCAGCAGACTTGACGAAGTGAATCCCCTTTTTCCCTCTGTTTCGCTCATTTAGGGAGTGAATTCCTTTTTTGTGCTGACCAACATCATCATGACTGAAAACCAAATCCAAGGACTTTGCCCCGAGGTACCAGCGTTTCATACCTGATCTTAATCCCTAGTGGGAAGGGCAAGGGCCTCATTACTGTGGATACCAGTACCTCCTTGTACTGACATGTTTCCCACCTGCTTGAGTTTCCTGGTTCCAAAAAAAATGGGAAACAGGTCATGACAAGTCTGACATTCTTCGTTGCATGATTTAATCCATCCCCATCTGCTAGAAGTTGGCAAGGTAGGCTCTGGGCCGTGTCTCTTTTCACATGTTTAGAAGTTGGCTGTGGAAAGCAGGGGCGTCTTGTGAACTGCAGTGACTCAAGTGGAATATAGTAAGAGATGTTCTTCCTCTTCTGTTGTTTCAGTTTCCTATCGCCAAAGCTGTGTGCTCCAGCGACAAGAGCTGCATGAAAGGTCGTACGGATCCACAGAGTAATGGTAAGAGGAAGTATTCTTTTGGCCCTTGGTGTTTTAAATTCCTTTCTGGTGAGCTCTTTCATCTCCAGATACGAGATGTGGTTTCTTCCTTCTGTAGGAATCCAGACGGGGAAATGTGTGAAATATAACAGCACCATCCGAACGTGTGAGGTCTCCGCTTGGTGCCCTGTGGAGTCAGTTAAAACTGCCCCGACGTAAGACAGTGTTTTTCTTAGTTACTCCTGTGTTGGCTTTGGTGTATTCTGCAGATGAATCTGAGACGAGTCCCCTTCATAGTGCTAAGGCAGCGATGGTGCCTTAACTGCTTCGTGCACCAATGATTGCAGGGTGTTTTTGAGGGCCATCCTTGAAGACTGTTCAGAAATGGTGTCGGTGCAAACTACTGCAGCTTTCTGGGGAGTGTTATACAGACCCCAGTGCCCCAGCCGCTTGAATAGGCTCCCAGCTAAAATTATTAAATTGCATAATGGTGGTTGTGACTATTTAGAACTGATCCAAATCTTTTCATCCTTTCAGACCAGCCATTCTGAAGAGTGCTGAGAATTTCACTGTGCTTATAAAAAACAATATCCACTTTCCAAAGTTTAATTACACGACGTAAGTAGCATCTTGGTGGCGGTATTTACGGGGGTGGCTCCCATTTCTCCCTCCCTGGGAAATAGATCCCTGATGGGGATTTTTTTGCCAAGATGGGGGGAAGCTTCTGAATCTGTGTTTGGGTGGGTTACAAGAGCCCCAGATCCACTAAAATAGCACCCAGCCCTGAAGCAAGCAGCTAGAAGGGAAGAGTTTTTTCCAGTCACCTGCCAGCATAAGGGAGGGTTCCAGGCTGAGCCCTTAAGTGGTTTGGGACCATTTGTGAACTAGAAGCTGGGCAAAGGCATTGCAGAGGCGGACCACTGAGAAGGATCTGGCCACTTCCCCCAGAGATTTACGCTGTCCTTCGAGTACTGATTTATTGACCACCGTGCAAGGCCAAGAGCAGTCCTCTACGTAGGGGCTTTTTCCGATTTGCAGGGTTGCCCAGTTTAGAGACACTCGAAAGGCAGAGCAGGTGCCCTGGCTTGGCCCAGGTTAACAGGTAGCACGTGGGCAGCAGGATGAGCAAGCTGATCGGGGTGCCTGCTGACCTCAAAACCTATTGAAGCAAAGCACTGTAGAACATCCCACCTTCCCAGACGCCCACTTCTCTATCAGGCCCCTCGGCTTCAATCAGTGATCTGCATTAAGAAAAGAAACAGGCAAAACCGAAGCCACTGATAGGTCACACATTAAAGGGTTCCTCCAGGAGCATCTACATCTTGTCTTCCGAGATCCTTGCTTCCCCTCTGTTCCCTACAGGAGAAACATTTTGCCGGAATTTAATGCTTCCTGTACATACAGCAAGCACGGGGCCTCGCTATGTCCAATTTTTCGTCTGGGAGATATTCTTCAAGAGGCGGGCGAGAACTTTTCGGAGGTGGCTGTTCAGGTCGGTGGCATCTTGAAAGTGGCGAGAGGACTTGCCCAGGTTATGCTGCCGTTAGTTCGAAGGGCTATGTTAACAAGGGCAAACATTGGATTCGATTGCAAAAGTGAGGATTCAGAAGGAAAGAGAGCTGTTCGTTTTTAGATCCATTGTGAAAGCATCCAAGCAAGTTGTCTTAAGGTTCACTCACCGGCCCTTCGGGGAAAAGATATTTCCCTTCTAAGCCATACGTGCATGTTGCTTTCTGTTTGCTAAGGCCTTTGTTTACATGGATTCCAGATTGCCATATGAGCTCGAATTTTTTTACCGCCTATTCACCTGTTTAAAACCCTCAGTTTATTTTATGAATTTCTGCTACAGTGGACAACACACTCTGCCCTTTGTCATCCCAAAGTTCATTGTTAGTGAGACAGACATAAATGATATAAATTCAGGTTTAAGAGCATTCAGGTTTAACATGCACCCTCTTCCCACCAAAGGTAAATTGAAATGCAAATTCAATTGAAATGTAAATTTGTTGACCACAATAAGGTCGGTCTTCTACAGTCTTATTGTGGAAGACGATGGATTCCTTCCAACTACACGGACTTTGGCACTATCTGTGCTGAAGGTTTCCAGGCAGTGGTAGGATTTTTAAGAGCATTTAAAAAAAGGAAGAGAAGTGGGTCATACAAATGTTGCTGAAGGCGTTTCCAAGCATAAGGAGAAAAGTTGGAGTTGTCTGAGGAGGCAGAAGATTGTTGGAGGGGGAACTTGGAGAAGCAGAGGTCACAGGCAGAGATGTATCTGGATATAAAGAAGGAGATATGAGACAGGGGGACATCAGACCTTCCCAGTCTGGTATGTGCTAGAACATTCAAGAAATGGATTATATAATTTACACAAAGGCTTGTGTAAAATGCAATAGCAAACATTGTAGGACTTTAGGCGGAACGTCATGTAGTCATAAAGATGAGTCAGTGAAATTCAGAGGTCTTGGTAGAACTCAATAGGGAAATAAAAGGGAACCAGAATGCTGCATCCTCTACTACTTGATGGGTTCAACATTATACTTCCCACTGGTCTCCATAAAACATCATTGTTCCAGCTAAGCCTAATCTGTATCATACATTTATAGGACAGCAGTTTACAACCTTGATATGGGGGACTTACACACACCCTCCATGCACATATTCTTCCCACCTTCAGGGTGACGGTAGTTTTTTCTGCACAGATGAGCTATGCAGCATCTTCTCCACCAAGCAATCAAAGAAGCTGAATTTGAAGTACTCCCCCCCATCCACTTTTGGGGTTAGCTTTGCTTTATGTGGCAGAATAAATCAGATTTTTTTTGGTCGCGATCAATGCTTCCCTCCAGAAAATAGGTCACATCTATAACGTCTAAATGGCTTTCTAGTTTCCCCCCCTCATTTCAAGAAATTGACAAGAGGGAGTTGCAAAGCTGCTACAGCAGCTCCTTGTACAAACGCGATTTGATTTATACGCCGAAAGTCTATCAAATTGGGAAAATTGGGAATGCCTGCTCAGTCCATCTTGCAAATTTACCTCTCTGATGATCTTCTCCAAGGGAGGCATTATAGGCATTGAAATTAACTGGGACTGCAACCTAGACAAATGGCTCCACCGTTGCAGACCCAGCTATGGTTTCCGGCGTCTGGACGACAAACGAACCAGCGAAGCCTTGTACCCTGGCTACAACTTTAGGTAACAGATATTCAAGTACTTGTGGTTCTGAGATTCTTTTAATGGAGATAACTGATTGGGAGGGAGGATCTTCCAGGATCCGTTTTGTTTTTGCTCATGACATTTCCACGTGATGCTCATGTACAGTTGTGCTGTTACAGCGTGCTTGGACATCTTATTTTCACTTCTAGCTTCTGTTGTAATGGTCCCTTCAATTCCTACTGGTCACTATTCAGTTCCTCCTAGTCACATGCTTGGATGTGAGGACGCAGCCGCCATCCTTCTTCCTCTTTCACTTCCCAGTCTGGTATGTGCTAGAACATTCAAGAAATGGATTATATAATTTCCTTGAAGCTTGCAGAGCAAGAGTTCATGATCAGAATATACTAGTACGTTGGGTTCACACATTATCACTAAATTATCAAGAAACCTGTTTAGTATTGGCAGTGTACCAACTATCTTGGAGTATAACTGATGCTTTGTGATTTAGTGAGAGGTGTGAATCCCAGTCTTGGTATAATGGTCTTCTCCAAGAAGTTGCCTTGTTGAGTGGGGATTCTTGGATGTTAATTCCAAACATCCGGAAAGCCCCAGATGGGAGACCATGGTAGAACCAGGATTGCAGGCTCTCTGGAGAAGCCATGTGAGAAAGGAAAGAACGCCTTTCAGCTGGTCAGCAAACGGCTATCGTAGTCCCTCCTCAATTCTTCTTTTGGGTACTTGGTGCAGTGCGCTGATGATGCTATCTAGCCTGGCATCGAAATGTCTGCAGGAAAACAACCAAGGTCAGAGAAGACCAAGAACCCAAGAGCTCGACTCTGAGCTCCAGAGATTCTCAGTTCTTCCTATCTGGTCATTCTAGATTTGCCAGGTATTACAAGCAGGCCAGCGGAAAGGAGGAGAGAACCCTGATGAAAGCCTACGGCATCCGCTTTGACATCCTTATCTTTGGCACGGTAAATGCAACTTGGTTTTCCTCCCTACGTCTTTATTTTAGATGAGAAAAAAACACACGCAATTCAGAGTCAAATGAAAAAGGTCTATCTTGCCATTAGCAGTTCCATTCCGGGTGGGGTTGTAAGTCAACTGGTGTGGCGACCCCAACTGGGATACGTCTCTGGCCACAGTGTAGGGAATTTAGCTCTTACCCCTGGTTGGAGTCTTGATCCAGACCGTTTTCCCCTTCCCTCTCCTTGCTGCTCAGGCGAGGAGGAAAACTCCCATTGGCCTCACGCCAATGCAAAGGGCATCAAAGGCAAAAGAGGTCTTGGCTCTGGATCTGCAGGCGCCTCCCGGGGACCCCCTCAGCTATTCTCATGAGTCCTAGCAGCTTTCTCTAACGTGGCGCCCTTCAGGCATGATCACCGTCCCTTTTGTTCTCATTTTCCAAAGGCTGGGAGGTTCAACTTCTTTGAGCTGCTGGTGTACATTGGCTCAGCACTGTCCTACTTTGGCCTGGTAAGAGGATTTTCTACTGTAGGGTCTCTGGGCGAGGAGAGGTTCATGTCTGCCGAGGATGAATTGCCCCCTCTTTTGTTGGGTTTTAAGAATGGCGGCCTCCCTTGCTGATATCGGCCGTCTCAAACTGTAGTTTCTGATTATTTAGTTGAAGGCGTGTTGGTGGTCATGCTTTCATGCTATTAATATTTACTGGTTTAAATGACAGAATCTTTACATGATTTTATTATATTTTTAGAAGAATACCTGTACAATAATCCACCGTATTGTCTTTACAGGCTCAGTTAGTTGTTGATTTTTTTCTTACTTCATATACGTTCCCTTGCTTCAAATCCAGCCCCGTGAAGGAATATTACTACAATAAAAAGTGTGAGACAGTACTGGGACCGAGATGGGTAAGAGATGGCACTAATTGTGACATTCTGTTATTCCTCATAGACAGAGCCAGGAAGTTCATTTCACTGCAGGAAAAGGGTCATGCTCAGCATCAATAAGGGATCCAAAATATTCCCTTAACCTAACAGACCATGTTATGGCTTTAATGCTACATGGAAACCCATCCATTGTGGCCTGTAAACTGTTACACCCCTAACCCAACTTCTCCATTAATGAGGCCAAGGCAATGTGGACAGTAGTAACAAAGGAATCGTACATACCTATTGATAAATACTTGTTACATCACTGCTGATATGCAATATATCCTTCCCTTCTCTGTTTTTACCATCCTGAGAAATAGTTTTCTTGAGTTGGTGCAAGATGGAAACTTCAGCCGTTGATAACTGTGGAATACCAAACCTGTCCAGTAAAATACTCAGTTCTGATATGCAAATGTCTTTGGTTTTCTTCGGCTGGGCAGACTTTGTTGTACGTGAGCTTTCTGGATGACCCCCACATCTTAATGATCGACAAATTGTTGAGGACCAGTTTACAGAACGTCAAAGGCAAGATTATTCATGTGAGTTTAGAACCTTCTTTTCTCTGTGTGTGTGCAAACATTGGCCTGGGCACACGCCTAGAGATTTGTGAATCGATTAAATGTGTTCCAAGTCTTAAAGGCAGTGTGCTATAGTGCCAAGCCATAGTTTATAAAGTGTCTTAGCAAGTCTTGGACTTTCATGCTTCTGTTTCTCTTCTCCTGTGGCCACAAGGAGGTGTTTGAAAGCTCCTGCTTCTGTTTTAAATTAACTGCTGCTCGCTGTGTTGTTCTAAGCTAGACACTGCAGATCATCTTAATTTAAAGGAGCCGACTTCAGCCATGTTTTATAAAGAGTTGGCTTATGACAATGAATCAGGCTTGAGATAAATGCCAGTTGAGGTTTGGCTGACACACTGACTGGGGTTAACCTACAAGGCTCCATGTGGCTGATTCTCACCATGATACGTCCATTAGCCACTGTAGGAAAGGACCCCGTTCAGCCTTCGTGGAGCTTCAGACTGGCTTAGAAAGGCCTTTGGTGTGCAGATCCTGACAAGTCTCTGATAAGGCAGGGTTGAAACACAGAGCGCTTCAAGATGTGGGGAACGTTTCATTCCGTGTATATCCAGCCACCGACGCTTCCTGAATGGCTCTCTCCCAAAGGGTTTCCCTTTTGAGAAAAACCGTCGCCCACCAATATGAGGCATAACATCCTGCGGATGTTGTTTCTTGACCACAGAGGCGCCGGGGCGATTTTATGCAGACACCCAACCTTCCCCATCCAGACAACACGGTCTCCCCACGCAACTCGGAAGAGCTGCAGCCCCTCACGAGCCAGCGGGAGGCGCCTTCTTTCCGCGAGCGTCCTTCTTGGTGCAGCTGTGGAAAATGCCGGCCGGCAGACCCCTTTGGGGAGCAGCTCTGCTGTCGACGGAAGGCCGGGGCGTGCATCACAGTCTCGCCTTTGTTTGAGCAACTCGTCCTTTCCCGATCAATGCTGGAGTTTGTTCTTCTCTACAAAGAGCCATTATTGGATCTGAGGGCCGAGGCCGTCAACAAGCCGTTTCGACACTGTGCTTACGAGCAGTACATTCGCTGGCGCTTTGGTCAGGGTGACCTGGAAGCAAGGGCCGTGATACCAAACTGCTGCAGGTGGAAGATCCGAGATGCGTTTCCCAGTGAGAACGGCGAATACAGCGGTTTCTTCGGGAAGAAGAAGTAACCCTCGGTTGCAACTCTGCGTTACAGCCTTAGTGCGGGTACATGCGCATGCCGATTAAGCAGCATTGCCCTCTCCTTTTCGAAAACACTGCCATTTGTGCTCTGCCATAATCTTTGCTCTTTAGCGTAATAGCATTTAGACTATTAGATAAGGTCAGAGGAGATCCGAGTTCCAGTCTCCGCTCAGCCATGAAAATCACTGGAAGGCCTCGCGCCACGTTTCAGCCTCACCTACCTCACTGGGTTATTGGAGAAAAACAAGATTGGGAAGGGCCATTTTACACGGCCCCGCTTTCTCATGTTCAGGCAGCCAAACTACTGAATCAAGCCTGCTTTTTTTCCCCCCCCCAGAAACATAGCAGTGGTTTAGGTGTGAGAAAGGGCTCCCTTCCTAATCCAGGTCGTCTTGGTTGGCTGATCCCCACACAAAGCCATCCCTTTCTTTGTTTGTTTTGTTTTGAAGCCATTCCTACTTGTTCTTTTCCCATAACTCAGCTGTCATGGACTGGCTTCTCAGGGAGTGGGGAAAACGCGGTGGCCTTTTTGTTTTTACTCTTGCTTCATTTTGAACATTGGTGTTCTGGAGGGAATCTTCTTTTTAAATTGTGAAAATACCATTAAAAGAATGTCTGGATGTTTTCCATGCAAAATGCCCCACGTTCAGCTCCAGCATCTCCATTTAGAAGGGAGGGAGGTCCAGATGACAAGAAGGACAGGGCAGAGAATGTTACAGGGTTATGCTTTTTTGCGTAAACCAACTCTTCGTTGGATTTCATTACTAACAGCACGTTGGTACTGTAATAGGTCTACACAAAAAGAGACGTAGCCCCAGAGACCTTTCATGAATCGTCGTGCTTTGCTTTTTTTAATCATTTGGTGGCCTGACACAAAGGACAGCTCTCTTCTAGTCCACAAAGCTGGTCTAGCAAGTTATGTCACGTGGTGTCTATTTATTAGACGCAATGGAGCACACGTAACCCACATTTAAGTGGGTGCCATCCTTTCTGCACTGATTTACTTGTTTCAAAACGGAATCGATTTCTCAGCATTTTAATTTTTTTTTTTTTGCAGTTAATTTTCTTTTAATCTCATTTTGCGGTAAAGACTATATATTGCTGCAGAGTTCCTACATTTCTGCCTTTTCTACAGTATGTTTATGTGGATTCCCTGTGCATAGTACAGATGGGAATTAAATGTATAAAAACAAATAAAAGCTCCCACGTGTGTTTAATTTCAACTGACAAGAAATCGTAAAGCAAGATGGAAGTGGCCTGAAAACCCCCAAGAAAGGTAACTACTTTCTAGTCGCAATTCCAGGTGGCATTTTCAAGGGGTTTACTCATTTAGGCTTAATTATAAAAAAGCCAAGAGTTTTGGGGGCAGTTGGTCCAATTCTGTTCGGCTGTCACAGATCCACATCCTCTTGATCCACATTTATTCTGGAGTAAAACAATCAGCGCAGCCAGGCCGAACCACCAGGTAAGCGTGCATAGGAATAGAGGCTGAATAATTATTTTACAATTAGCATACGCATAAGATTTGCAGCCTCGTTAAGCTGGTGATTTAGGCGGCTGCCTGATTAATTCAGGGCTTAACGCCACGCGCGGCTTCTTAAATTGCTTAATGAACTGGTGAGCGGCAGCGAGCGGTTCAGGAATTACTCGAAGCGGGTTTAGGCTCGGAAGCCCGGCCTTGCGCCCGGGCCACCAGCTTTAGTTGCGCGAGGCTTCCGGGCTCCTAGCCGACCCTTCCGCAAAACCTGCGGGCTGTCGCCGCCTCGCCCGCAGATTGCTTCGGAAGCGGGGCTGCTTTTGCG